CATCGTTGCAGGAGATTCTAGCGTCTGCAGAACGTCGTCTCCGACCTCGTTTAGATCCGGATCGCTCCCCCGGTTCTATTTGGTAGGTATTTTTATGTATATAATATATATTTATTTTAATTTCTTTTAAATTAATTTTACGAATTCGATTTTTACAGGTTTGATCGTAATAACGACGTGATTTCATCCGTCGTCAGCATCTTACAGTCGGACTTCAAAGGTCCGTGGCGGAGTCTCACCCGTGTCCCTCCATCTGATCTACAGCGTTGGTTTGGGGCTTTTGCGGTAAGAATTTTGGCACTTAGTTTAATTTTATATGCATACAAAATTATAAATTTATTTTTTTTATAGCAAGCTTATTATTGGGACGAGTCTGTTCATGACCGAGTCTACGCCGCTTGGAGGCTCGCCGTCCGAGATCGCCTCAAGGACAACATTTATCGGGTAAAGAGCAGACGCGTACGACCTGCATGGATGTCGACGGCGATCTACGATCAGCTAGTTGAATATTGGGATTCACAAGAAGGAACGCAGAAGAGTCAAACATTCTCAAGCAATCGACGATCCCGAGCGGAGGTCGAACGTGCACCCCCGACCCACACTGCAGGACGGAGATCATTTGCTCGAGTCGCCCATGAGATAGTAAGTAAATAAGTATTTATTTTAAAATTTTTTTGAATTTTTTTAATTAAATTTTTTGGGTGCAGATGCAGAAGGAAGGTGAAGAACCTTCTGCGTTGCGATTGCTGCAGGAGACTCACCGTCGAGCTGACGGTACTTATATCAGCGATCGGGTTCAGGAAATCGAGGATGCGATTCAGGCAAAGATCACCGATCGTCTCTCCCAATTAGAGGAGAGTTGTGGATCGACCCAACTTTCGCCAGCAGAAATCAACAGCCTCTATCTGGAGGTAAGTTTATATTTTTTTTATTTTTTTATTAAATTAATTTAATTGACGTATACTTTTGATTTTGTAGGTTGTCCAACCCGATGCCAAAGGACGTATATACGGCGTCGGTGCAATGGCGACTCAGTTGGGTGGTGGTCATCCGGATGCAACATCGATCGGTCACCACGTCTCACTCACTATTCAACCCATTTCTGACTCCTCAGCCCGGAGTCGGACCTTCTACGACACCAGCGGACCAAACAACCGGATCAGACAATCCGGATAACTTTTTTGTTTAGTGTTTAATTTGTTTTTACTAAATACTTTTTATTTAATAAATACTTTTTAATTTTAAATAAATATTTTTTATTTTATATTTTTAAAATTATTTTTTAAAATTTAATTTAATTTAAATAATTATTATTTATTAATATTTGTTTTAAAAAATTTACATTTGCGACAGAGTGCGACCAATGAATTTAGTCGGACAGTTGCGACCGAATACCTACCGCTATATTTGGTCGTTATTTTGCGACAGAGTGCGACTGATGAAATTTGTCGTTACGTAGCGACCGAATACCTACTCCTATTTCTGTCGCAATGTGCGACAGATCTGAATTCACCAATTTGCGACAGATTACCGACATATAGCCATCTGTCGTATATTGGCGACCGACTACCTACAGATCTGTCGGTCGCAAAGTTGCGACAGAATCACGACCCCACAGATTTTGCGACAACGATTTAGCGACCGACATCCATCGGTCGTAATCGGTCGCAATTTTTTTTTTACCGACAGATTCTTTTTCATGTTGCGACAGATTTTTCTGTCGCAAATTACAGTTTTTCTTGTAGTGTATCGATTAAAAAAAAACACATAATCTAATCTAAGCAAAGAAGAGTCTAAAAGGGTGAATTATTGCAAGACAAATTACGCTAACAAAACATCAAGTTTGCGATTTTTTAAACTAACAAACGATTCTGATTGTTAAAATTGTAATCGTTAACTAAACAATATAATTGTAATTTAAGATAATTAAAAATATTTATAATTTTTTTTTGTCAATTCTTAAGATTATCTGTGTTTTTTTAGCTGATTAATTAATTAATTGTTTGAAGCCTTGATACACTACTATGTTTCGTGGTATTACTTTTAATATGGTTTGCATACATTAGCTAATTAAGTTTTTTTTTACATTAATACATGTTTACATAGATATGAAATTCTCTTGCGTATGCCAAATTAATAATATAAGTAAATTAATAAAGCGGCATTGTGATTGAGATACTCTGTATTCCTCCATGGTTAATTTTGATGGGAAATGGAGTATTTGTATGACAGTGTTTGTCTAATAGAAATCCACAACCGGCTTTAAAATTTAAGTTAGATAGTATAAATATTCGGATATTAGATCTGTTAACGTAAACGTGGGTTTAATTTACTCTATTGTGAATTATATTCATTTTTTTGTGTTTTTTCTATAACTAGAATGGTTTTCTGGACTATATCCACCCTATGATGGCGTGTTTAGGTAAATTTTGATTTGGGATTAAGTACAATGACAAAATTTCATATTAATAATTTCTTTTTAGTTATATTTATTTCTAATAATATTATTTATAGGTAAATATTCTATTATATTTTGGAGTTCTAAAAATGGTACAATTTTTATTTTAAAGAAAAAAAATCCAAAAGATGTATTTATTATGAAGTTGACATAATCGATTATATAAATTTTAATCCGCATCATCATCATCATCATCATCCGCATCATCATCATCATCATCATCATCATCATCATCATCATCATCATCATCATCATCATCATCATTATTATTATTATTATTATTATTACAAAGCACTGCAACGTGTCAACATGACTAGAAATATTACTATAGCAAATAAATAAAATAAATGGGACCCATATTTATTTTTCTCCCATTAAAGGGGATGTACAACGTTCTAGTACCCAACATATTTTTTATTGAAATTTTACACACAACCATATCACACACACACACACACACACACACACACACATATATATATATATATATATATATATATATATATAGAAGTTGACAATTTGTTTATATGTAGCGGTTGAGATGATCATTCTAATTTACTTCATATATTTATATTGAATTTGGCATTTCTGGAATGTGTCTTCCTCAAATAAATTTATAGAGATTGCAAATCGCATTCATTATATTATTTTCATTTAGATATATATATATATTATTTATTTATAGTGCATAAAAGGCCAAGAATTAAGGAGTTCTTGCATCCAATAGGTGACGGCTTTTTGAGGGGGGCACGTGTTCATAAAATGCAAGAAGAAGAGCATTGTGGATAAAAACGAGAATAAAGTATAATACAAAATATAAAATAAAACCTTTTGTTTTTTTTTTCTAAAAAAATATGAAAATCATGGAGTATGACGAACGAGATGATGGACACCAAATGCTTTAACAAGCATAAAATAAAACCAATAATGCACCCATAACTACATATATATATATATACATATACACTATTTCGGCGAAAGTTAATTGATTAACTATGATAGAAAAGCATCATTTATATATGGCAAGATCCGAATTTTAAAGTATGAGTTTGGACGAAATTTAAATACCTGTAAACTAATATGCACATATACATATACCATATTTTATTTAGTGAATAATACATACACACACACACACACAAGAGAGACACACATAATAACATCATGAATGTGATTCATGTTTTCAAATGTGAGCCATCCTTGTTAGTTGTAAATAAATAAATATATTATTGAAATACAGATGTTTTAATTACAATATCAAAAACTATTTTTAGAGTATTGATTTGTATATTGGATAGATATTTTGGATTTGATTTTTCTTATTTTGAGGTTTGTATTTTTTTTATTTGTTTTCTGTAGAAATTTGGCATTTCACGATTAGGCAAAAGCCAGTCATTTTCTAAAATAATTTTCTCTTTTATTTATTTTTGTATACGATATTAATATAATAATATGTCTGTATGTGACTTGTTTGAGCACAGAAAGTCGCAGCCGCCAAATTTTCAGTAAATAAAAAACATAAATGGAAAAAGGAAAAATAACAAAACAACATACTCACTATGTTTAGTTAACGTTATAAACAAAATTTTCTGTTTCAAAATAATTACCATTATTATCTTTAATTAAAACTAATCCATTCTGATAAATTTAATAAATATTAATTATATTTCAACTTTAAACAAGAGTATACGTGACTTTTTTTTTTAATTTCTTAAAAATTGTGAAAAAAGTTGAAACTTCAAAGGAATAATAAATATCTGAAAAATAATAAGATAATAAAATCTTCCAAAATGTTAAAACTCTTTTTTTTCGGAATTAGTGGTATAGCCCAAAAATCATTATCCCGAGAGGATAAAACGTCGAAATCATTTTTGTAATGAGACTCTGTCTACATTAGAGGCTTTGAATGTAAGAGAGTGACCTGCCCACGTGCCCATCAACGTAAACTCTTGAACCCAATCCCACAGGACACCAACAAGAATACAATACATATCTTTCTCTAACATTCTCTCCTTCCCTTTCACTCCCTTTAATGGCCTGAAAAAGACGGTTTTCCAATCCGGTTTAGGTTGGTTTGATGTCGGTTTTCAAGCATATCGGTTCAGTCTTGTGTCGGTTAACCAACACAGGGGAATACCGAGTGAGTTCAGGAACTTAATTATAATGTTCAAGAAGATGAACTAACAGCGATGACACGAATGCCGGCTTCTATGCAGCATTTGTTGTGGCGAATGAAACCCTTTTCCGGGTCGGTAAGCTGGATGTTGTTCCAGCCAAAGCTTTCTTTTTCACCAAACCAATGCTTTATTACATGATGGAAAAGCCAAGAGAACGGAGCTTCTTTTACAGATGTAGGAGGTTCTCATAATCGTTAGGGGAAAGGGTTATGATCATCATCAAGAGAGAAATTCAAACAAGAGTGAACATCTTTGATGCCATCCATTGAGAGGTAGAGTTACAAAAAAGGGTAGTGACTATCGTCACGAGAGAAGTCCAAACCGTGCCTTTGGTCCACCATTCGCAGGCATATACTTTACCATTTGAATGAAGAATCTTCGAGCCCAAGAACAGTAAATCAAGCGAAAGGTTGTTGGATCCCGTTCTTTCGTTCTTAGCGACATGAATAGCTATAATCCTGGCAGAAAAAAGCATAAAACTTTACAACTTTCACGATCAGTATATAGCAATGGTAATTCGGGTTTTGTACCATGCAAAGTTGTCGACTTTGAAAACTTCAGAGATGCAAGGAGAATGGATAGCCTTGGAGAAATTTCTGAATATCCAAGTGAAGTTCATGTGGTCTCTACAGGATAAAACTTCAGAGTCGTATCAGTTTCTGTGATGTCGGAGGGCAAAACTTCACAGGGAAAAAAATATAAACTTTTCCCGTATATAGGGCACAAGACAAATTTTCGACAATGAATAACCTCTGTCTGAATTGGAAAACAAAATGGTTGAAAACCCCATTTCCATAACTGGAGCAGGAGAATCTCAGAGATGCAACCATAACCCTAATCCGCTTAATATTTCTTCCATATTCGAATTTCTCCGGTTGCTCTCGGGGTTAGAGGTGTTTCACGCTTCAGCGTTCTTTTAATCCACTAAAACATCAAGTCCGTTAAGTTCTTAAATTTCAACTTGCGTGCCGTTCGTTCAATATAGCCTTGTTTTAGTTGTTTAGCTATGAAATATGATATTGCCACTGCAGTCGTAAAAGACGTGTCGTTTGGGATTTAAGTCTACGAACAACGTGTCGTCTCTACATGATATATTGTTGGGCTTTAATGAGATATGGCCCATTGTACCTTTAACTGGACCAAATTGACACCGTAATTCCTCCTGCCATAGTGATTGATTCAATGGTCGTTGAGTTTACGAAATCCCTCCGATTCGAAGGTTTTATTTACATTTGATTTGGAGATAAAAATGAAACATGAGATTCGTTTTGTCGTGGTTTGGAATCGATCGCTACTTCCAATCACGAGTTTTGGTTTTGGATCTCGAAATTGGATCCAAAATCAGAACCAAAATAATTGGATATCGAAGTGATTTCCCCCCCCCCTTCCGATTAAAACAATGGGCTTACGGATATACAAGAAAGCCCAATAATTGTGTTCGACCCGGCTTGACCCGGCCCAATTGAGTTCCCCCCCCCCCCCCCCCCCCTTTTTTTTTTCTTT